ATACTGTATTGACAAAACGTTTTGTGTTCAACAACAGATCGATATCACACCGACTTTCTGACATAAGAAGTTTATAAACACACAATTCATTTATAAATGACACTTATGGATCTTGGGAAAACACATTTCATGCGACGGCAAACGGCGTCCGAACCAGCGCCTTTCGAAAGTTCATACGCTTGCATGTTAAGGTGAGAGAAAACGAAAGCACTGTAACACGGTCAAAATCTGATGCCACCTAGCGGCCGAGTCATTTTTCTGTGGGGAACTGTACTGTGTTGTAATTGAAAGGCTTTTGTTTGTCATCGATCTCAGTTTAATTTCCAAATGCTTTGCAGTTTAATCGTTGTAAACTGAATAGTTCAACATCAGAATTAAACTCACTGCGGATGTGAATCTTAGTTTGCTGGAAAGATCTTCGATTATTTTTGATCTGAAAATCGGACTCAATGGAAGGAAATACAGGCTGACGTATAAGGTTGACATCGCAAACATCACTGACGCTGTACATTGTGAATTACTGCGCTCATAGCGGATTGCCAATATATACTGACATTGTCAATATAATAAGCCAACGTGACATACAGCCTCAAGAGCTTTTAGGTTTTAATACAAACTTCCTTCTCGGCCTGTCAGGCTGAAACAAATGCATCAACACAGAATGACTAGGATAATCAGTACGGCGTATAGTTCCTCTTGAAACGAAACCTTGATAATTAAAGTTGTTTTCACCGCTATGAAGGATAAAACCGACCTTCAGTACTAATAAATAATTTTCTTAAGAGTGAGTAAAAATGCGGTAAATTTGAGATAATTTCGCGCGGTTTAACATAGCCTTACAAATTCCTTGAGCAAATTTCAAATGCGATGGTATTTTAGATGAATGTACGATGACTCATGGCGTATCGCAAAAACTTTATTAGCAGGGTTTTTTTTAAATATCCTCAGCCCACATGAATGCAGCGGGCATTTATGAGCTGTTTAATAATTGTGCCGAAAAAGCGCGAGTTCAAATTACTTATCCGGCTGGCCTTGGAAGTGACAGAGGCCCGAAAATTTATTTTATTGAGTCATCAATATTTCAGTCAGAATGTCATCAAAACTAATGAACTAATAAGTTAGTGTCAGTGACAACTTCATAAGTGCCCTATAGATTTTCACAGAGTATGAATTGCGTTAATTATGATTATTTACAGGATCGGACACCTTTTACAACCATCCAATAATAATTATTAAAAAAGAAAACAACTTTGGACTCTTAAAGTTTCTTTCAAAGTCGGGGTTTATTAATCTTTTGAAATGAAAAAGCCATTCTCCTTTTTTTTTTTTTTACAATTGATTTATTCAATGTGTAAACTGGAAAGGATGAAAAGCGACAAGTCAAGAAATTCAGCTCAAGACACCTGAAGTTTTAGCAAAGCAGGTGCGCTGTTAGGCAGAAGAAACATCAAAGGAGCTGAATATCTTTGAGCCGAGATATTTTGACAAGGATATTTGTCGCCCACAGGCAACTTTTTTGGACGCCACACGAGTGATGAGCGTTTTACTAACGCAATTGACACATGTTTAGGGGCAGTGGCGATATCTATTCATCAATGGAAACATTTTAACTCATGAATAGCGAACTACCCACACTATAAGCAAACAAGGGCACCAAAAAACAGTCTGTCATCACTGTTTATCTGATTCAGACAAAAGTTCAGTCAATGGCATCAGTTTTCAAACGGGACGTGCTCTTTAAAAGAGTTTGTTAAGTTGGCATATAAAAGAAGCCTTGAATACATCTCGATCGACCTCGCGTATAACAATAAAAAAATATTTTTAGCCTTCATGGTCGTACGAGACAAAATTTCCTGCGATTTCAGTGAAACAAGGTTGCGAAAATAAGTTATGTTGGCGTAAAATTATACTCAATCTATATGAATAAGTTGGATGTGTGGCTCATAAAGCCACCCATCAAAGTCTCTTTTCATTTTCAAACAGCATTTCAAGATTCTTAATTAGTTTATTTGTATTTAACCCATGGGCTTGTTTGGGTTACTGAACTTACGGAAGTCTGTCCCCAAGCGCGCGGTGGTCGTTTTGAGACTAAGAATAAACATCAACAAACAGCAACTCAATTGGTGTTTATGTTTCAATAAAATGTGGTTAAAAAGCTAGAACTAGCTTGGAGTTAGCTAGAAAGCTGAATTCGACTTCAGGATGGTGAATTGGAAATATGAACGCGGAAAATGTGGTACTATGTAATGCCTCAGTTCGTTATAGCGCAAACGATCCGTAAACACAATGAGGTACAATGGAAAGCTGTCGTTCTTCTGGTATAGACAATCCCAAATGACCTGCGGTAGAGATACTACTTTTTGTTAAAAGAATAAACTGGCATTCTTATCTCGCGTTTTTAATGCGATAAATTCACCATGACAAAGATCTTCTAGTAAAGCTGCTAAACGGACCGATTTCGCTATGGATAAAGGGTATTTTTTTTGTTATGTATTTCTGATTCAGTTTCAACAGTTTTTTTCTGCAAAGCAGTTAAGAGTTACATACGTTAGTTTGCTATGCTAACCGTGGATGATCATTAGTTTGTGTACACCGGCTGATAAACTCGTAAAAACTTTGAACAAAACAGTTTACTGAGTAGTGAGTTTTTAAATTAAGCGATGATCATGCCACCTCAAATACATTTGCCGCTTCGCTTAAGCTTAAGTACCTCGTCCCTAAATGAGATCTCTCACAGACAAAATGTGCTTTTATGTTATTGAAGGGGCTCCGGATTTACAAAGAGTTTCGAGAAATTCAGGGAATTAAGAAATAGATGAATGAGAGCACCTTTGTAAAACAGACATGAACCCCAATATCAGACAATCGTTCTTGATTTTATGCTGATAAGACTGACAGATATTCAGACAATCAATTCTGGCGAAGCTTTCACGAGTCTGAACTGATGAGCGTTTAGTTCTTGAGCCTGACTGATAACAATGCCTACAGAACGTCAGGCGACACAAAAGAGTATAAAAAAAGCAAATGACTCATGTTGCGTCATCCACTTTTCGCGGTGCTTTCGAAACCATCCACATCACAAGATGGTTAGTGCTTACTTGTGGAGGTCCTATACTGAACCAAAACAGAAAAAAACTAAAAACAGCTATACCCGACTGTTTGTGTTTCTCCCTTAAAGAACCTGACGGAACACGTAACAGCTAAAAATTCTCATTATGAAATTATATTCGTATATTCATGTCATGCTACCATTCGCAGCTGGAGGATGAAAAGTAACGACTTTAAAAAAAGAAAAAAGATGCCTGCTCAGAACAACAGTTTTTCACCATCATTTCTTATCAATGAACTCTTTTTGAGCTAAAAGGTTAGACTTGAATAATAAGTGAAGAATTGAATATCCTACGCTAGCAGCTGAATTGGTTTCAATGTTCAACCGGACGTTTCTGTCCCATGGTCCCAGCTGCACTTTACTTTCGAAACTCCAAAAAGGAGATAACGTTAAAATTATTTTGCAATCGAGGGTCAGGTTTCGTTCTCACGCTGAAAGTTTTAGCCGCCCGGCGTTCGTAATGTTTCCCACTCACCCCTGCCCCCTTGTACGTATAATGCTTGCAGGTGTTACTTCAAGCTATTTAAATCTTTCTCTCAGTTAAATGTTATCATTTCTGTTCATTGTCTATGCCTTCCTGCGTTGTTTTTTGTATGTCTAAAAAACCAAATAAAAGAGTTCGATCAGACTGAACATGGTTGTCATCATTAAGAGTCTAATACAGAATATAAAGAGAGTCTAGGAAATTTCACTTGTTTCGCACATGACAGGCAGCTTAATCAGTGACCACTCGCTATCATACGCCTGGGCTTAAGGATAAGGGGCGGAACGTGAGAATCTGGGCTCAAGGTTAAGAGCTTGAACGCGAGGATCTGGGCTCAAAGACGAGGATCTGGGCTCAAACGCAAGGGATGGAACGCGAGGACCTGGGCTCAATGGCAAAACCTAGAACGTTCCCTGGACTCGTGATCTAATGCAACCGTGAAAGGCGTTGTCAAAACATCCTGCTAAAGGTCAACTCCCAACAGGCAATTGCAAAATGATCTAAATTCTTACCGATACTTCTTGTACCCAGAACTCTGGTCCCAGCAATTCAAAGGGAAGATAATGCTGTCCAGCGGATAAATAACTATCCAGTAATGGAGAGGGGGAGTCATTTATGATAGTGTCATCCACCCTTTGAACAACCGTGAAATGAGCAACTACGTACTCCATGAGAGAATATTGCCAACTACGCCACTTTAACCAGTTGAGAAAAATGCGATCTTCTTCTGTTGCTAATCAATCGTTTGTGGATTTGGTTTAGTAATCTTTAGTTTCATTACCACTACAAAAACAGGATTCAGGATGGGACGTGTCGCAGTGTGTTAAGTGACCAAACTCAAATTTCTTCTTACAATACCAATACAATGTAGAGAAGAGGATTTGACGAGAATATTATCGACTTCGACTTACCTACCAACGGATGGGCAAAATAGATCGCAAATTTAGGAAACCTGTCATGAACTGGAATCCCAGCCTTCCTCCTGATTGCTTCATGTTCCAGGTCATGTTACCATGTCACTGGGTGGGGTGCAAGGCCTGCTGCCTGAAATGCTTACCCTAATTCAGACAAAAATATGTGGTTTTTCTTCAGACCTAGCCCCAATATGAGTCCAATATCGATTCGTTACTCTACACCTCTAAAATAAGTACAAGTCAGTCTAAAACATGACCTCTGCTTACAAGGAAAGGCTGCAAATTCCAGATATTTATGGGGAAGCAAACTTGTTTCTTTTAAGCAGCACTCAACTGCCTACCGAGGCCAATTGTTGCTGTAATCTTTGTATCGATTAGTTTATATATTTAAATTTTTATAGTCTAGTTTTTAAATTTCATAATCTAGTTTTTCAATTTCAAATTTTATAGTCTAGTTTTTGTACTTTTATTGAATAGATAATATATTTAAATTTTACATTTTAATTTTCAGTTAGCATACACGTTCACATTTAAACGAGCCCCAGGCTCACTGGTCAAATGTTTTTTTTTTTTTTTTTTTATTTTTTAAAAAAAAAGGGCTGAGTGCAAACCACCCCCTAGTTCAGGTTAAGATGTTAAAAAAATCTCTGTCTCAATTCAGAACAAAACAGCACCAAACCCTTAGGGATACACATCCCCTTATAGCGTATTTAAGGAAGGAGGGGGAAAGACAATGGATTCTCATACGAACACTGCAGTCAGTGGCAGAACTTGGCATGACGTCCTTCCAGTCAAATTAGACTACACCTTGACATGGGACATGTCCCATTCGTACCCGTATTGAAAAGGGAGTAAAGCGCTATTATCCTGGAGCAACAGCCATGTTACCTGATGGCACAAAGACGTTACCTTGATACGAAAACCATGTGTCCAATTCTTACCCGTAGCCAGAAATCATGGCATCTTTATTTGAAGTCATCTAATGACGGAACGCTAAAACCGAGACAATGTCCATCATTTTGGGGCGCTATAATCTCCACAAGAAGGAAATGTCAAAGATATACAGTGAGACACTTCAGCTTTGGATGATCTAGAACTCGAGATAACTGTTAACGGAAATAACAGTGATAGCTCAACACCTAATGTTTTCAAGTTCAAAGTGCCTCTGCGATCCTTTTTGCAAAATCCTGTTTTGCACAGTGCAGGGACAGAAGTCTGATGCATCCGGTTCAACGAGGTGGAGATCGCATGTTATTTTACCTTTGAACTACCCTATTATGCACATTACATTCATGCCAGTAATTACACAATAGCAAATTTATTCCAATGACTAGTCAACCTATTTAACAACTATATACAAAACAAACCTTAGTTTTAAGTTACTATTCTGTAATGTATGGTGTTTGCTGTCGTTTCCGACCAAACGACCACTGAATACGAACTTGTGTTTAGCCTATGAACATGATTAAGTGGCCTATGAACATGATCGCTTGAAATACATTGCCACGACGAGTTCGAGGTGATACCGTACAAAATCCTCTTTATGGCGGTTAACTCAAAATGCATGCGGTGTATAAAACGTTTTTATATAACTAGGGTAAGAAAGAAGCAACATCCTTATAGTAATATAATAATATACTATGTTAATTTATATCCTGATTTGTGGTCCAAAAGGCTGCACTGTAATATGAACTGTTACCAAAAATCATTTTCAGTTGAAAAATGAACGCTAGTTTGCTAAACTAATATTTTACATAAGGGAATTTCGGTTATACGAAGCGATTTAAATGATGACGATTGTAATTCTTGGACTTTGCTAACAAAACGTTATTCTCCTTAAAGGATTATAACATAGTTCTCTTGGCGGTTATCGCAATTATCTTAGCATAAAACGAAGTTTTGGGCTACTTTATCATTAATTTAGTTTGCTTTGTATATTTTTGAAGCTCTTAACTTGCCGCATACTTACTTGAATATAGTCTGTTGTCTCCTTCAATCTGATACAAAACCAATTTCGATATATAATAGTCTGATGTTTGCGCTATTCCGTTCTCATTTGCAAGAATTCCTGGATGAAATAAGGTGTCAGTATTCGCAAACTCGTACCATGAAAGGTTATCTCTCAATAACGAACTCTAATGATCTGATTGGAGCCCCGTGTCATAGTATTCAGTCCTAATTTGAAGGATTCTTAGGCAAAATGAAAAGCTTTCGTACGTAAAAGTGCCTTATGACAGTCCATAAACGCTGCTTATCATTCAACATAGCTTAGTTGTGATTATTATTAAAGGAGCTTCGTCACGGTTTGCGTGCCTAAAAAACTTAAGCCTAAATTTCTGAAGTTTGTCGTTTGCAATCCGCATTAATCTTCTACATCCTTAACCACTCTTGTTCCTTTATGGCTTATTGTTATCTGTTTGATGTTTTTCTATCTTAGTAAACTATTATTTTCAGGTTTCCTTAAATTAAAAGGTACTTTAGTACCTGGCCAAAATATCTCAAAATACCGTGATTGAGCTCCTTTAAACTATAATATGTTGATTTTAGTTGGGCTGCAAGGCATAATTCTGGTAGAAGAGTCAAGGTATCTGTTTGTATTAGTATGCGTTCCCTCTTACTTGCCAATTTCAGTGTAGATGCTTGTAATACAGGTCATGGACTGATATGGACAGAGTAATCCCTCAGTTACATATGGGCTTAGTCAAGGCGAATTTTGTAAGCGTTTTCAAGTCTATGCGCATGATGAGGTGATCACATGCAAGGTTGCCGAGGATATTTAACTTTCTACCTCGTGAGTGTACATGTGTCTTCTCAGATCAACTTTGCGCATGAACGATACGCCACATTCGTCACACGAGAAAGGCTGAAATCCTTTGTGCTTCCGACAGTGCGTGATCAGATTGGACGACTGACTGAACGACTTGCCGCAAAAGCTGCACTGGTGGGGCTTCTCTCCCGTGTGGATGTAGGTATGCTTCTTCATGTCAGACTTCTGGTGAAACCTCTTGCCACAGAACTGACACTCAAACGGGCGCGTGTCCGAGTGGATCAGCATGTGAGTTGATAACGTCGACGAGCGCTTGAAGCTTTTACCGCATGCCTTGCACTGGAATGGTTTCTTGTTCGAATGCACGATCATATGCTGCTTCAGGCTGATCGAATTGTTGAAAACTTTCTCGCAGACCTGACAGCAATACAGCTGCCTTTTTTTTTCAGAACCAGTAGCCTTGGATTTGTCGTCTTTTTCAGCCTTTTCTGTTCCAGGCCTAATTACACAATTCATCTGCTGCTGACCATTTTCCTTCTGGAATTCATCGTCCGTTTGAGTGTTTCGTTTGCCAACAGCTCCTGCGTTTGGCATCAGGACATTGTAGTATCGATACGCCCCGGCTGCAGACGGTTGATTCTGAAGCCGTCTCACTTCTGCCCACTGCTGCATCCAGCGAGCAAATGCTTCTGATCCCGCGTTGTAAGATTGTTGACGGAAGTTCCAAAGGGGGAACTGTGGAGCCTTCCAGAACGGACCTTGGAGTCCTTTGGGGGAGGGAGAAGGGAATGTTGAAAGTAATCTCAGTCCTGTTTCCAATGGCATACCTTGAAAATAATGAAGAAACAAATGAATGATTGAATGAATGTATGTGTGAATGAATGAATGAATGAATCAATCAATCAATCAATCAACGAAAGAACGAACGAACGAATGAATGAATGGATGAATGAATGAATGAATGAATGAATGAATGAATGAATGAATGAATGAATGAATGAATGAATGAATGAATGAATGAATGAATGAATGAATGAATGAATGGCTGAATGACTGCCTGCCTGCCTGACCGACTGCCTGCCTGCCTGACCGACTGACTGACTGACTGACTGACTGACTGACTGACTGACTGAATGAATGAATGAATGAATGAATGAATGAATGAATGGATAGATGGATAGACGGATGGATGAATCATAGAATTATATAATTGAATGATCAATTATAGATAAACAAATAAATCAAAACAAATTTGACACATTGTTTTAAGCAGACTCTAAATATAACTTTGGGGAGAAACTAGTACCTGAGCATATCGTATTGTATTCCATATCGAGCCTTACTGACGGATGAACAAATTCAAACTGAAAACTTCACAGCTATATGTTTTTCTTTTGGCAACTCTTTACAGCTTCAAAGATACCTTACATTTGAATAGAATCGAAGCGGTAGCCGTTAAATTAATTTAAGAAAGGAAGCTCTCTTGATGCATGCATAGGATTATAATCTGAAATTTGGTGTTATAGCACGAGAAGGATATATAAAAGGCGAGAGGCTAGAGTAATCCTATCGTTTAACAATGATTTTTTCGAATTTCCTTGTGGATGTCAAACTAGATTTGATACAATTTTCCTTCCTTCATGCTGGAGGAAGATTTAGTAAGTGAAAGAGAAGATATTGAAAGCAATCATTTCCTCTTGGTGTTTGCAATCCCCATTGAAAAGAAAGCGAAGAAAGCGGTCAAGTTTCTCTCACCAGTGGAATAAAACGGTGATCTGTTCTGCAGTTGGTAACTATTCACATCATGACCAATGTCTTTGTTTGAACTTGACTCTTGACACGTGGTTTCCTCTTCGTCCACATCGTGTGAATTCTCGTCACTGCTACTTTCATCTAGAATACGAAAAATGGAATGTAAAACGTTACTGTTCAGAAGAGTAACCGATGTCAATTGTAACCCTAATAGGACGTCTGGAGGTTCCGAAGTAATTCTTCACCAGAAAAAAAAAATATTTGAGTGGTAACTGAAACTAAAACACCGAAAAATCGGTCGGCTTGGCATTATAATAACCAAAACGATGAAATTCAAAAAAATCCGACCTCGGTTTGCGTTGTGAACGTTGTAAGCTTTCTTCAAGACTCTTTACTGAACTGTTCCGACTTCTGTTTGAAATGTAGGAATTTTGGCTTGTTGCCCTGCTTGGAGTTTTATGCCAAACTTACAGCCTTTGAAATAATGAAAGCAACGGCTGACCAAGTTATTATCGATCACTCAGATTATAAAATTTTCAGTATACACTTTGTGTTGTCATAACCTGCATGCTTGCTTTGTATCGACATTTTCGGGAGAAGTCAGGTGTTGGTGTCTCATGTTTAAGGATAAAATGGTGCTTCGAGCTTAGAAATTGATGAACTCGCCATTTTGATTCTGATTTAGCCTGTACTTGAACCCTCTTTGTAACTCGGGTGTTGATCCTGATTCTCTGGCCTAACACAGAGGCACAAATGAGCAATGTAGAACCATACGCAACTGAGCATTCTGACAAGGTAATAAGACTCTAACGAATTGTCAAACATCATATCTAGGAAGAAAGATTTACTAAAAAATTGTTTCCGGGGACATCAGGCTGACAGTTAACGCTGTCTTTGTTAGCATGACGCGAAAAACAAGGAATACTGTTACTTTCCCTTTTGATGAGGTGCTAGCAGACTCCTTGGCTTACTCTTTAAAAGTTTGTTCACATGTCTCCACTTGTCTTCTGTCCGAGAATATACATGCACGTGGGCATATAGAGGCACGGCGAAGTTAAAGTGCTTTGGCCAAGAAAATATCGCAACCCTTAAGCCCAACCAGCTTTCCAACCCGGTGATCAGAAGTCTAGCAGAATATTACGTCCGAGCGCATCCGACTCAAGAAGAGAGCAACAACTGAAAGCTGTTGTGGTTTAGTATCGAAGGAACCATAAAAGAATTTAGAGAAAACGTAAGCACTTTCGAAATTCCTTCATAACGAAGGACCTTTCAGGAAAGAAACATTTCATATTTCATCTGCATTTCTCAGCAAAACTAGTTGAAACTCTTCGAAAAGCAGCTAAACTACTTCCTAAGAAAGGTTTCCCAAACAATTTTAGTCAGCTATGGCTACAAATCATTTTTTGGCAAGAGTTTCATTAAATTATCATCAAGGACAAACGAAAACGTTGGCGAAATATGAGAGCGTTTATGCACCAGTTCCTACAACACTCGAGTTGCGCCCCTGTAGCAGGTGCCATTTAACCTCAGGTAAAGAGCTGTCAATAAACTGACTACTGCTAAACTTACCAAATATCTAAACTTTACAGAACGGAGCAATTTCGTTCATTAAATGTCGATGGATTTTGGAATTTTGTTCTTGTGTGACTATGTAAAAACTGGGTATGGCGAAAATGGTTGATTTAGTCGGTCAAGAGAGACTTGGGAGAAAGGTATGTAAAGTGCTACTGAGTTATCAACTCCGGAGCCACGTTATACGACTGTTTATCATAACGATATTTTAAAATGTTTTATAGGCCACCAAGTTGGGCATATTTTGGAATAAAAAACTGTCAGTTGAGTTTGGTAATTTCAAATGAAATTTCTGTTTCAAATCAGCAGAAAAAGTTTCCCACTCACAAGTCGAAGACTGAAAATTCTATTTAGAATACAACCAAGCAGCGAAACGAAAGAAGGAAATGGCACTGTCCATCTAGAAATAAAACTTTTAAGCTTATATCTTATAGTTTCAGAACTCAAATTCGTTCTTTAAAAATGTCGTTTAAAACTTGAAGAAATGTAAAGAACGCAACACGCAAAGAAGATTGAGTGAGATATCCTCTGGATGTGTACGTTTAAAAGATTTATGAAATCGGCGAAATTTCCGTCAGAGACAGGGTGCAATGCCGGTAAAATAATGATTTGGTCTCATTTGATTAAGTTACTCTTCGCAGTTTCATTCTTTTCTCAAACAAAACGGAGCTGAGGTAAATACTCCAGAACGGCTTTTGTCGTGATTTATATTCTATTTCTAAAAGGGCCCGATGGAAAGAGCCCGATCGTTAACGTGCTTTTAATTGTATCGCTAGAGTCAAAAGCAAACTTTGAGTTTAGATTCACTAGTAAAATGTTGGAGTTGAAAATTTACTCTCAAATGCCCTGGTAAGTCGTCTTGGTCCTTTTCAAATTCGCTATTGTTTAAAAGTTATTAAACTCCTTACCGGTTTGGGGTTGAACAGTATTGTTTTTTTCCTGATATTTCCAGGGAAAGTTCAGTCCTATTCTTGCGACAAAATGTTTGCTTCTATTATGATTTTTTCCCGCAGGAATAAAATCTTATCAAGTTTTCCAGTTTAAACAGCGCTAAACGCCCAGATTGTAAACGTGTTTACGTGAAATCTACTTGCTAGGTATGAAATATTATAAATTAGTCCAACAACTCATAAACTGCATAGATAATCGGTTGTATCCAACTTGCGACAGTCTCCAACTTACGACGTTTAGTACTTATCGAGTCCAATATATTCGCTCTGATTTTCCGTGATTTGAAGACGGTATTCATTGCCATATGTGGGTTGAGTTTGTTGGTGGCTCTCGCCTTGCTCCGAGGGTTTTTCTCAGGGTTCTCCGGTTTTTCGTCCCTCCAAAAAAACTAAACATCTCCTAATTCCAATTCGAACAGGATAGAGGACCCGAATGAAAACCAGGTAAGGCTGATGTGGCTTCCTCTCTCAATATTGTAATTTGTAAAGCGAGAAGAGAAACGACTTCTACTAGATTTTAGTTTAAACCTGGAAGCCACCCAATGTTCTCCCTACAGATTACGCACCTTTTCAAAGTGTACAAAAAATGAAAAATCACATACCAGCTCGGCCAGCTTTATCTTTGTGCTCAAATCCGGCATCTTCGGTCTCCAATGTCGAAGAAAGATTCGGTTTTATAAGAAAAGATTTCGGCATTGCTTAACGAAGCTGCTCCTGAGGGTCGAAACTGAAGGGAAGTGGTCAAGGGAATGCTTGCTAGGGAGTGGTTCAGCGACACTATCAGTGTTTTCAATCACACGACGTCACATAATTAGGCAGAACTAGAGCTTACGACAACATAAACAGCTTATGACTCCATAAGAAAAGCTATAGGGGAACATTCAGATAAAACCTTGACCTTGAACTAGAAAATAATAAAAAGAAGTAACTATACGACAGTGTACCTGATTCGGAGATCGTTTTTGGTAGAATGAAATAGCGCGAGAACATTGATGCCTTCAAGACAAGCCAATCTAGTTCAAGCTGCCGAGGGGAAGAGGTCCGCATTAGAACTTGTTGTCTGCATGCTGTTATATAGATCAAGTCGATGAGAAAGTGAAATATCATAGTTTATTAAACTTGTGAGGGCTATTAAGCGTTGAGTTTATTAACATGTTCAATGTCTCAATCTGTTTCTATAAATCTATTTGAATGTGAGTGGTTTTCACGCATTTTGAAAATCTTTCAGACGCCTTTCTAACGTACATGTCAAAATTAGGAAACGGCTGATTAAAAACGAGAACCTGAAATTCTTATTCAAAAAGTCTGAGAGTAGCAATTTTATTGATTAAAATGTCACACCTTAAAATTATATTCATTGCATAAGTTGTTGTCTTCAGGAACAGAGTAAATGACTGAAGTCATATAAGGATGAAGTTATGAAGCGTTTAGTTTTGGGCGTCCCCCACTTTTGTACGCTAAGCACTTTCCCAGAGGGAGAAAAATGTTCCAAAATACCTGTCGAAGACACGAAGACAGAATTTTTAAATTCGAAATCAGGAAAACGAAACACTAAGAAGTTGGCTTTAGAAATTTAAATCAGGGAGACAAATACTGGAACTATTGTAGGCGAAATATTGCTAAACTGTTTATCGCACGGTTAAATAAACCTTTTCTTTTCAATTTTCTTTTGGGAAGGAGAAGAACGAAAACAATACCCGGTGGAGGTTATCTGAGTCTAAATATTTTATTTATTAACGTATTACTCGAGAGAAAACGCATGTTATTCCTGCAGAGATCCACTATGCATATCAAAAGACCCAACTGAGCTGCTCAAGGCAGAATTTTGCCATTTATTCAATAGCTTGAAGTGCTCTTTTTTTCATCAACTGTTAAATTCTGATAAAACGTAGAAGAAAATTTTTTTGTGAGTGATGTCGTTAAATTTACACAAAGAAAATGCTTGCCTCGTTAATTATTCTCTCCTCTCGACCAAAATTTTATTAGCAAGGCCAGGTCAGTTAAGCTTAAGTTTCTAGAGCAGCGTGCTCCTTTTGTAAAATGACAAACCCTATAAAACTATAGAAATATGTCTCCATTATCACACATTTACACAAAAAAATCAGCTCCAAAGACTGGACTCGTTTAGATTTTTCATGATTTACTGGAAAGGTTTCAAATTGTGCCATCGCCCACGTCTGAACAGGTGCTGGACGGAATTGAATTTCCTCGCTCTTGTTTGTTTACGGATTTAACACACGCAGTGCATAATAAAAATTTGAAAAAAAAACAAATCACTGATCTTGGCAAAGGTCTTAAAAAACGTTCCTTTTTTCGCGAGAGAGCTTGTAAGGAGCAATTGTCTGTTTATTTACAAAACTCGATAGAAAGCTTCAATTTTAGGCCTTTCTTAGAAACATGTCTCAGAAGACGTATGATTAAGTCTAATATATTTTGAGAAAAACGTCATGACTGAACTCGAGGTTTCTGTACTTAAAGCGTGTGATTTTATTCACTCGAAAAGCAATCGCTAGTTAAGCGCAAGAATAAAAATCCTGCCCCTAATTTTTCTTACGTTTACTGCTATATTTTGCACACCTAGCAAATTAAAAGTCATCATTAATTTTGTATCAGATTCCAGTGCTTTCTTTCCTCCAACCTACACGAAATTTGGAGAAAACGACGCGATTAAATGAACATTACAATCCTGGTGCAGTGGTCCTGAAAACAGTCTTACAAGAAAATATGTTTAGTAAAATGTATATTTTGAAGTTTTGAAATCCAAAATGAAAATCTAAATGAAACCTGATTGAGAGCAGCGTCATGTTGTATAATGGCAGCCAGCCAATATACCACTTTTAGTCAGTAAAAGCTTTTAATACTAGCCTACTGCAGGTGTAATCAATAGATTCTTAATAGATAGAACCACACAAAAGCGTTGTTAACAAAGGGCAAACTCCGAATAGGGAGTGACAATTTTTCTCAGTCGTCAATATTAGATAGTTTTTCTATTAGTCACAGTGAGAATTTTGGGGGACATAAAAAGACGTCCAATGCAATTTACCACGTAAAAATACTCTAAATAGAAACTGATCAAGGTAACAAAGATGCACATGTAGATTATGTACCGAGCGTTTTGATAAAAATGCAAGGAGAAAATAGTTTCAGCCCAAGCTAGCCCATGCATAATACAGAGCACACCCCATAGACAGTCAATTGTCATGCAAGGCTAGTGCGCACTGCAAACATGGGTGTAATGAAGTTAATATCATTTGACAGACTAATAAATGGCGAAGAAGGCGATTGAATTATTGCAATTTTAGGTTTTCAGTCAGTTTAGAGATGAGTTAGAACGTAAATACACGTTTACCACTTCATTTGCACGCCTTAGAAGTAATCATAATAGGAATAGTTTCTAGCTAGTACCCCGCTGGTATTGAGTAATCATGAGTGAAGATCACAATAAAAGCGAGGCCTGCTAGCCGACTTCATTGAACTGAATTCAGCTGAAAAGCAATAATGTCTAATAACTCAGAAGAGAGCATTCACCACAACCACACTAACCCCAAGGAGCTTATTCATCGCTTTTTCTTCACTTTTGACAGTTGTTGACGTAACAAGTTTTAAGAGAAAGTTTTTCCTTCCTTTTAGTAGTTTCCTAACAGATCGCTCAAGACAGCTTGAATCAAGCATGCAAAATTTATTTCACACCTCGTTGAAATGTTCTTTTACTTTGTATATCCAAATAACGGGAAATATAATTTTGTCTAATGTAGACCTTGACCAAATATCTGGCATCGTTTGCTTAAACGTGCAGTTACAAACATACTGATTGAATTCGATGATTTTAATAACATTTTCCCACCTTTTTTTGCCTGAAATTTAACTAGTTGTTTGACAAAAAAAGTCAATTAGAAACATATAAGTTCAAATTCTGTGTAAATTTCTAAGCGTTTTGTAAGGTCCTGTTTATGAACTAAGATCACTAATGCACTCTTCTTTATATAACAATATACTTTATAAGAATATCGATGCTGAAATTTGCGAAATTTTAAGAATATTTTAAGAATAAACCTGAGGCTGAGATTTTGAAAAGAACATAATTTTGTGTGTTGAAATTTACAAATGCAATACAATTAAGACTTATATCAGTGTTTTTCACTAAACCCAAGAAAATTTCTTCCTCTCCCTAAACGGTCAAACTAGCTAAAAAACAACAAAAACAGCACTGGTTGTATGATCGATGCTAATAACATTCCTACAAGAAGTTGTGTGAGCCATATCAGGTTTTATTGCCTACAGTCTGGCTCCAAAATTACTTCAACGCCATCAAAATCATGATAGGACAGATAATCTAACGATATTTCGGCATAGCCCACTTTCTATTACTTTAATCTAAGAATATTCCCAAGAATATTTTCAGCCCGAAATCGGCAGAAATATAAGAATGTTCAGCTTGGGCCGGGAAAACAATAGTCTTATTAAAAAAGAGTGTAACTACACACTACATGTCAACTTTATAAAAGCTATTAGTTGTCATCTCATGACACGAGGAATTCTTTGCTTTCTCTTTTAATTTAGCTGTGGATAAACAAGCCCGAGATATCCCGGTTTGTAAGTTAAATTGCAATCAAAGTTGAACTAAGGATGAATATTCTAAAATGGCTAAAAAAAAAGTAATTAGCAAAATCTGTACAAACAGTGAAGGCTAAATGTTTTTCATTAGTCCGGTGTGACGACAAATATTCGATTTAATGCCGGTGTGTTGGACCTGAATCTCATACGTGCAATGCTCTGCCAATTTCAAGTTTAAAGGTTGACGTGTTTTTGTCATGTTCGGTTATAAAATATCGACTATAAATCGTTTGGTTTGATGCTTGAAATTCCAAATAGTGGCATCTGGATGATATATTACGGCGTCTAATTGTATTTCTACAAATCACTAGCCCTTGATAGTAGCGCTTAACAGCTTAAAAGCTAACCGAACTCAAATTGCCTAAAAGGCTTGTTATCGACTCGTATTGATATTCCTGTTTTTGATGCACGACCATGGCATTGCGCCCAAACTTAAGTAGCGTTGCTTCAAGACACGTTCATTTAAATTCATGCATAGACATATTTCTGTTCGGAAATTTTTTCTGCTGGAAAATAAAGACACGATTCAATAATTCACCGTTACTACTCGGAGCAGAACCGTACACCTTCAATTTGCTAGGATCATATCCGGTTTGAAGAGTCTTAGCAAAGATTCGCACCCCGGGTGTTTTTCAAAAGGGTTCACTCAACTTTCTGCCAAGGATACGAATCTAATACTGATTAGCTTTTCAGGGATTTACAATTCCCCTTGCATTTAATTCAGAAATGTAAAATTTGAAACAGATGCCTAACAAGCAAATATACTGAAAATCATCCAGTCAGAAAACAGGGCAATAATTTATTAGGTGTGGCCGTGTCAGCAAAAGAAAAAAAAAACCTCTTAAGGTTGCGCAATTGTTTTAAAAGGTCCATTTTTAACCAGAGAGCAGGTTCCCTATTCAGCCGACTAAATGGGGTTTTCTTCTGAGCCACCCAATAACTGCACATTACGCCAGCGTTGTATTCTAGATGGGGCAGAACTAGTCTTTAGAAATTACCATGACACAACATAAAGCTTGTTAAGAAACTCCAAACATCTGAGCTTCCGATACACATCCCGTCTGCTTGAATTCGAATTTAAAGACTCCGAAATACAACTAATTCAGGTTTCCTCTGTTTAATTAACTTTGAAAGCACGCCGGGTAAACTATGCTGGAATTCAATTTAGATATGACGCTTCGAACATTTTATTGAACGCGCGAATCAGATTTTAATTCAATAACAAAAATGCTTGAAAATTGGTGATTTTGCACGGATTTGCAGCGTCCAAAAGAACTTCTTTAAAACTTGAAGATTTGCACTTCTTTGGAAAATCGTAGCACTTAAGAGGGGTTTAAAAGCGATTGGAACGTAAAGAGAACGTAGGCGGAGAAAAATCTCAAACACGATAATCAACATTTTGCCACCGGCCGACAGTAAACACTAAGTTTTGGCCGTAAAATCAAAAGAAATGTTTAGCTTCTTGCTGATTTCGACAATGTATATTCTTGCACACATAGAAAGTATTTTTTGATGTAAATAGCGGAAATCATTTTAACGAAAAATGTTTGCTTGATGAAAAGAAAGCTAGCAAGCCAAATTGAAACGACATATTCTGTTCCAGAGTTGGAAAATGCAACATTCAGTCACGCGCTCTATCTAGAACAAGTTGAAGTGTTTAGGTCTCGGGAATTGAAAGATTAGCTAAAAGAATAAGCAAATCCAGGGAAATACTAATAACTATCATTAAATACCTTCGGAGTCCATGTTTGTATCGGACTCTGCAGAATCACAGTCATCTTTGGAAGTTTCTTGTAGCGCAATCTCGTCTTCATCATTTTTTGTCGCGGGTAATCCGCTAGGTTCACCTTTTAGCGAGGAGGAATTTTGTTTTCCTACAATACCAGACAAAACAAAAATAGGCACATTATTTGAAAACCAGTTCAGTCCCAGATAATGTATTTCCGTAGACTACGAGGTAAATCAACTGAGGATCAGAGTCGAAGAGAATTTTTTGAAAATTCATCTCTGAATTACAACACGAATCACTCATGTGTGATACAGGCAATCGCAAAATATGCTCTGAAATAAGGACAAAAATTGGAATCTTTGACGCGTAGCAATGGCGGGTACCGGGAAAAGTTAAATGGAATTGTGCAAACCATAACAAAGAAAGCCCGGGTGAAAATCACAACCAGGTATTTACCTTGTTCATTTCTTGTCTCAACACCCTGGTGCGAAACATCGCTGGAAACTGCAGTGGGCTTCGTGCGCACAAGAAAAGCTCTTGGCATTTTGATTTTTCTTCGTTTCTTGCTCTAATAAGGGTGGCCGTGTAGGTCCTCGGGTATTAACGGTACGTGCTGAAGAGAACAGGTCGTGCAATACGTGGGTTGTTTATCCACTCGTGAAATCTTTGCCGTAAATATTTGATACAAAGGAAGATTGAACTTCACAGCCTAGGCTAGCACCCTTAAGGCAGGTGTTTTGAGCTTGCAAATGGTCCAAGATGTAGTGCGGTTTCGTCCAATCCCACCTGCTTGATAACTACGCGCTTGGAAAGCTTGTAAATTGAGTTACCATTTACTTAAACACCGCGCGCGCACTACGGAGACACGTTCTGAAGGGTTCCTGGCTAGAGAACAGAAGTCTACGCCCATATGACTAGTGATGACCAGGGATATGTCCCATTGTAGCCGTATTTCGATTTTTCAATATCAAACAGTGCTTGTTTGTTTTGCTTGACTATAAATATGCTCTTGCGCGAGCTCCATTGTTGTGCAAATCCCGGGCGCGCAAAATGGCGCGCGCTCTTCATTATTTATTAAGCAGCACTTTTAGAATGGGAAAGCTAAACCGCGAATCTCGCAACCCGAGAACACGGATAATAACTTGCACTTTCATTGTTTACTTTTGAGACAGGCTTTATTCCATAAAGATTTAATAGCTAAAGATTATTAGAGTCTGTTTCTAGTGAGTGACGCCAGTGAAACCGAAGAAACTATTTTCATGTTTGATCATGTTATTATATTGCTCCTTCGGTCATCTGTTTAGGATTTAACGAAACAACATTGACAATTTTCCGTTAAATGATAGAATGTTTATTTTTATTCTTTAATACGCGGATGCGATACCCAGTAATTGATAACTAACTTTTACGCGTGTTTATCTCAATCAAAATGAATTTCACGAGCCAGTCTCTGTGCCCACCTGATGCGGATGTTGTCACGTAGTTTGTTAAATAAATTTGAACTAGAACTGTTGAATTATATTACATAATCGGATTCAAGTCACATCCCTTGATTTAACCATCCGCTGAACAGGTGGAGAAATCTGAATGATGGGCGCGTGCGAGTGCGCCAGGGCGGACATTTAAGGCAGCAGGTCGACTGAACAGAGATTGTAAACCTTAGTCGTTTGAGTTAGCACTGTAGTTGGGTCAACACGGTTTTATCGACTGGCTTCTGTTTATGAAGTTCTTAGCCTGGCCAGGATGTGTACACATACCGAACAAACTGTACAATAAGCTTGTTATTAACTCTGTTTGTGGTATATTTGCCCCGCTGAAAGCTCATTACGAAAAGCTGGGTACGTGGACTCAAACCCCGCCAGTCCTAAATTCCTAGTTACGTATACATAGTAAAAAAATCAGTTCAGCCAGGTTGCTTCAGTTGTTAAAATAAACGTTCAGAATTATATTCGAAATTATGTCACAATGTTTCTGAAAAAAAATCTTTTTGCATTTTCATCAACGCACGTATTATAGGACTGGGTGACAATAAATCACGTGACGGTCGGATATTGTCAGTGGGCTCTAATGATTAATGTTGCGAAAGTTTAGACAATGTCAGCACATCTTCCGCTCTTATGCCACGATATCGAGGGAATATTGAGTGACTCGTTCTCTCATGTCGCTATTGCTTTTTATTTACTTTCAATCACAAAATCCTCCCTCAGCAGAGTGTGTTTTCTTACCATAAGAGGCACTCAAAGAGAATATTGTTCTGGTGAGGCATATTTCATAAGGATGGGGTACAACCGGACACAGTTGGCCACTAATTTCCGAAGTAAAATAAACAAGTTTTAGATTTATGCTTTTATTAGTTATACAAGTTATCTGGAACATAATTGGTACACGCTTTCAAATAGTTAAGCGCTTCTCAGATAAGCAAATATTTATTGGTAACTACTCTAGTTGTTGTCAGAAACTGTGCACTCTGCAGAGATTAAATTTCTCTCTGTCTTTGTCGAAATTTTTGTTCAAAGTTTTCAAAATAAGCGGAATTTGCTACAATTGTTTATGTACTTTTTGCTCATGCGACTATTTCATAATATAACGTGTTACATTCTTATCAGAATGCGACTAGGTCTTAGCTTAGTTACATTGTTGAGAAATTTAATTCTTCGTATCTCTTGAACCCTTCTTCCAACTTGCAAAGTTGCTAGGGCTGATTGTCTCACGCGACAGGCTTACGACAAGTCTACAATACAGATTGTTTCGTGTAAATCAAAACTTCAATTCGCTTGCGCCTGCCGTACACGACACAAAAATGTCGTTGGATTTTGAACCATGTTTTAAAACCTTGGCTTACGAAAATGGTGGCAACTCAAACTATGTTTGAGATAGCCTGTTTAGCAGACGTTTCCTTTCCATTTTCCAGCGAGCGAGCGAGCGAGCGCGCCTGGGATGGGCAAAAAGGGAGAGAAGTGAGTGGAGAGGACAAGGGAAGTCGTATACAATTTTACACCAAGGGGCTCACTTCTCCAACGACGAGCAGGGTAGCTCGAGCATTGGGGCAGTGTCAGCGACTCGTTGCATGTATCTAAGGAGTATTGTTAATTTGGTGACGTGGACATGAGTACCGTCGGATCAAAACAAAACTCTCCGTACGCCTTACGGTTGCTATGACAACTGATCCGGTGAACGTGACTGTGCCTCCTTAAGTCTACTTTGCGGTAGAATGCTCTACCACATGTCTGACAGGCAAACGGTTTGAATCCCAGGTGTTTACGGCTGTGAGTGATGAGATTGGAAGACTGACTAAAACACTTTCCACACTGGCGACACTTGTGGGGCTTCTCTCCTGTGTGCACGAGCATGTGTTTCTTCATGTCCGACTTCTGGTGAAATCGTTTGCCGCAATAATCGCAAGAAAATGGCCTGATGTCGGCGTGAATCAGCATATGCGTGGACAGGGTCGAGGAACGCTTGAAATGTTTACCACAAGTCTTGCACTCGAATATCTTAACAGTAGTGTGCGTCTTCCTGTGTTGTGCAAGGCTGACGTAATGACTGAATGTCTTTCCGCACGTGGCGCAGCCGTACGGGCGGCTACCCGCGTGTGAGCGCCTCACGTGTACCTCCAAGCCGTGTGGTGTGCAGAATATTTTCTGACAGGTGTTGCACGTGAACGTGTCAAGAGAGTTGCTTTGCTCCAGCTCGTTTTCATGCTGCGCTTTCATGGTCTTTTCGAAATGTTCATCTTTCTTGCTGAAAGTTGTTTTCATGTCTTTTGTAGAAGGTTTTCGTTCTGGAAGATTATTGCTTTTAAAACTGGGCTCGTTTAAAATCACTGAGGCACTGCGTTCTGTCACCCAATGTTTCTTTGACTCTTGAATAAGAAAGGGCAAGTGGCTTTCTTCAGGAACTAACTCTGTGAAGACACAGTGTAGATATACGTTACATATGCGTACTAGCTAAACGAACCAGACAAAAGTGTTAGCACGATTTCCACTTCTTTCTCATGTCACAATGTTAACTTCCCACCACAACAAAATTTCCTAAAATGACAGCTATGAGAGATCCGTTCCAACCATGAGGAGGGAGTACGCTAAACTAATGTTTCACGCTCTAAAAATTGATATTTTCACGGTTTTATTATTAAGTTAAGTAAAACACTGCGCTGTGGCTAACAATAATAAGGAGCAAGTTCAAGCACAGGATTCGAATATCAACTTGACGTTTCCGATAAGACCGATAATCCTACTGCACGAAACAGGCAGTCATCATTTGATTCCAAACGAAAATAAGATAACTTACTTGACTTGTCTCACGCAAGCCTACCACATGATATTTAAGTTATATTGTTCTTGTTCACGTACTCCCCTACAGTGTAAATCTCGGTAATATTATTTCCCATCTAAGGCATCCAATCAGTCTTTTCGCTTTTTTTTTATTAATTCACTGATTATCATGATTTAACAACCATATGACGCAGTTACGCTTAAAATATCTTAAAATTCCAAGAAATAACTCTGGACTTAATTTGATTTAAATTTGGCTTCCCTGGTGGGCCTCTCACCAATCTCCAGTCGCTTAAAAATAATGAAAAATTAAAAAAAAACACTCTGTCAACCCGTCAACATCTCCGAAACAGAACCGACGATTTGAAACACACAAATAAGCCCCAGCAAGTGGAATCATTGAATGAACATCAGTGACTGTCCAATGAACAGACTAAGATCTACCGAAAGGTATAAATAAGCTGAAAAAATTTTTTTAGCCCATTTTCTGTTACTAAACGTAGCTTAAAGTGAGGCAATTTTCTAAGATTTTCACTTTAAGATTGTGCTGCATTGGGCAAAACAACTTTGAACAAAAAAAATGCCTCAAGGCAAATCCTTCATCGCTTTTCTGTTTTAACACGTCTCTTCAATTTCCTTTCGAACTTTACTAGAGGAATCGTTAAAACATCAATTGGCATGATATCAGCTTCAGGAGAAAAAAGAACTTCCACTGATCAAAAGGAATTGTTGGATCGGAAAAACAAGGCGTCGGCGAAGAAGGATAAAAATGGTAAACAAATTTCAAGGGAGTTACACCAAAGACTGGTTCACGCACCTTAGACCAGATTTCGAAGTTAATTGTAAGATGATCAACATTTCTTATCACGAAATCGGAACGCATTCGTTCAGCGCCAAAATTTGTAAATTTATTCCATTCATTTTTCCTGAGGCCATGGGCTGGCATTTCCGCGACTTCCGATTGTAAAGTGGAATAATCAGACGAGTATTTTCCGTGTAGAGGAACATCGTTTTCCTAGTATGCCTAATAATGCGCAGGAACATTGATAAAAAGTAAACAGGGATTCATGTGCCTTCCTATGCCAGACAAAGCTGAACGCGAGTGATATTTTTCAAAATAAATAGTTTCAAAACTGACTGATTTTTGGAAGCAAACTCCGGAAAAGTAAAGTTGACAGCTAAGAAGTAGTCTTTCATGTTTGATATGAGCTTTACTTAAAAGTCACAGCTGAATTGGTACGTGTTGCTGTCCAATTGTTTATCTAACGATGCCTCGTGTACCACTGTTTAGATACTCTGGAGACAGAAGCTAAACAATTCTGTCACATCTTATAAATGCTCCTTCCGATTTCCTTCAACTTTTGCTACGCGACTTATGATACTTTCTTGTCAGAGTAGCTCGTTTTGCCAATAGTTCAACCGGTTAACGTCTTTAGACTTAATTAAACAATGCTTCTTCGAACTGGGGTCACGTAAGGTACAGATTTCGTTGTTTCTTCAGGCCCTTCATGTCTTAAAAACCGAATTCTTCCTAAAACAGATGATCAAAGTTTAAAATGAAAGTTTGAAGTTTGTTTTTTATCGTGATTTCTTTCAGTCGTCGCACGAAAACGATAATGGTGTTGTTATCTTCTAGCAAACAAAATCGACGAAATTTCCTCTGCATTGTTGGATCTTAAAGACAGTGCAATCTTTACCAAACAGGAACTGATTTCTCGCAGATTTTGTCGCAGCGATTTAAGCAACTTCGACAGAGTGTCGCTGATAAAATGCAACTAACAATGTGCATATTGGCAACGCCTTAATGCGGTTTGATTCTTAACTCTTCCGAAATTAAGATCTATTAATGTGAACGAGCACGTTTCGAAACTCGTGCGTAATATCGCAGCATTGATGAAGCAAATTTGCGATTGAATAATTCCCGGAGATTGAATGAATAGAGCAGGTGAAATGAAACGTATGCTTCCTCTTTAATCACTGGCTATTTACTCAGTGAAGTTAACTCATTATGTAGATTAACTTCATTGAAAAGTAAATTCAACGAAATCCAATCTTTGAATCTGTTGCCGAATATCTCAGTTCTCTTTCTTGCCCAAGAAGGGCCACAAAAAAATTGTTTTCATCTTCATGAGGGTCACATGTTCTATACAAACCAAGTTCACATAATATTAGCAGGTAAATATCGCGCTTATATTGCCCTCCTGCCGATTAAAATCTTCAATAGCACCGGAACGCTTCCTACAGCGCCAGGGCAAATACTAAATCAGAATTTTCTTTATGAAGCCAGCCATTGTCCTACAAATAAGAGTCACTTTTCACCTTTCTTCCCTGTTTTGTTTGCTTAAGCGCCGATTGACTGAGGAAAATCTCATATCCGGACTTAATACAAATGAGCTTTTTGAGTGAACGTTCAAAACTGTGATTTTGCAGGAAATCAAATTTTCAAAGGAAATCAAATTTCTTCAGTTCTCTCGGTCGGGTGTAAACCAAACATGAGACAAATGCAAAAAAGAAATACCAAAAGTTTAGAAAGCAAAGCAATGAATTATTAAATGCACCGAAAAGAAAGAAAAAAAAGAAACCATATATTTATCCTGATCTGTACGTGTAGTTTTTTTTCTGTCGAATTTCTTGTGGAAAAGTTTTCGTTTTACTTCTTAGTTGCAAATAGGTTGCTTAGTCTTAAACACGAATTTTATGAAAATTCTACACCGTCCGTATTTTGAAATAAAAATGTTTAAAGAAATAAGTAAATAGAGGCTGAACAAGTTACTCTGCAATGATTCGAAACGCAGCAACTATACAATCACGGCATTATTAGTCTTTTTCGTTTTGTTTTTTCCTTGAAAATCATGCCAAATTCAGCACATTAAATAACTATTTTATGAGAGCAGTAAATATCCTCTTCAATGTAACGAATTAAAACCGTCCTTAGCCCGCCCAGAAAATGGAAAAATACGGTATTGCGTTTGTTAATTTTAAAGTAGCCTTGCCAAATCCGCGCCCGGAGAAGACATCTTTTTTCCGGCCATAGCAAAATCAATGCTTAAATGATCACCAATGTACGCAAGATAACAAGATGATGTATTCTCTAACCTGGAGGCGCGCTTTCAGTGACATCCGCGTGTCCCTTACGGACTCGAACAAGGAAAGATTTCGGCATGATGTGATAAGAGCCCAAAACCTTAGGGTACAGTTGTTCGCTTGATTTTGTTCTGTTATGCTCCTCGTTGGCGATCGTGCAAACTGCAGAAATTTTGGCTGCTCGATGTGTTGACCTTGCGAGCCCTTGACTGAGTTTGAAGGCTGCTTCAAGCTGGCTATCAAATTTATTTCAATCAACCTGGGAGAACAAATGTTACAGTAATTACACATATCAGCTGAACGCCTCCTGTTTTTTTATACACAGGCTTGAGTTGACTTCTGTTGTCCTATTGGTTCTCCCATCGCGGATTGTCCCATGTTAATGAACTCGTCGCAACTGATTTGTGACTTATTTGGTAAAGAGAGGAAATTGAAAGCCAACTTGATTATAAAGATTAGCAACAAAGTGAGCTCAATTGTGATTAAAATTTTCGTCCAGCAAACTTCTTTAAACAAACGTCGTTTTGGAACCAAGCATTGCCTGCACGTTGGTAGCACGGGTTCGCGTGCTGTAAATTACTTCGGACAACTCCACGCTTAATAAGTCAAATTTCTAATAGAAAACAAAGTACATTGCTTAAGGTATTCTGTTGACTTCAGAGTGTAATTTTAAAATTGGATTAAGGGTATGATTTTAATGAAACTTGTTAAATGGAGGCTGAAGAGAGTGACCCTTGCAGCTGAACTAAATGTAATTATATTGCAATATCAATCCTGGTTTTATTCTTTAATTTTTTGGTTTTGTTTCATTTCTTGTGGTGTGAAAATGATATCTGTGAGCTGTAAAGGAGACCGAACAACTAAATGTTAATATTTCTTAATATTTTCAACAATGATTCAGCTTTTCTCCGTACGAGTCAGTTTACTTTAGAGAAACAAAAAGAAAAGACAAACACACCAAAATGGGAGAGATTTACAATAAATAGCTTTCTCAGTTCAAATTTGTCACGCCAAGCGAATAAAAGATTTGCAACACCTTTTTACCCAAGTAGATTTAATTTATCTTTCTAGCTTACATACCAACAAGAAATTTAATTGTTTCATTAAAACCATTAGTTTTATCAGCACTTCGAGAACGTGCCAGTTTTTATCAGATAAAAAAATGAGTTCATGAAAGCGAGATAAATTTAATTCATAATTTCTATTTTGCGACGGTGATGAATTGAAACGCCGCGAGGGAAAGTTAATTAAAATGATGGAATGGTCAGATCTGCGAGCACTGCTTTGTTAAAATAATTCTTGTGTTAATCGCGAAGGATGTTTTTATGATCTGTCGCGTCACTCATCCAGACTAGTATTGATATAGGTAATGAATCTGTGAGCAGAATATCTGTGATACGTACAAACATCACTTTCTCTTTGTTCAGAGTTGCTTTCCGCGCTATTTAACTGACATACCGCGTGAATCAGTGATTAAGTGATTTATTTTTGCTTTTAAACCCTTGCTGAGTTAACTTAAAAATTCATGCGACGGTTTTGAATGCGGCATTCATAAAAAAAAATTCTCTGCTTTTTTAATTTTTTGACGATTAATTCTGAAGTCTAATTACGAAAGGGAATTGGGTGCGGGAGAAGTAAACAAGGTGCAAAAAATGCCTTCTTATTTCGTGAAAAGAAATTCAAGAAAAAGAAATTCATAACCCAATGTACGTTTTTACCAGTATTGTAAATAAATAGTAAGAATGAAGGAGAATAAAATCAGCTTTTGATTAATTATTTGTATCGAGATTTTTTGTGACCGCTCGTTCAGCTTGTTTTGTTTCATTTTTGATACTATCATTTCGGGTACTTTATTACTTTGTAGAGCGAAAATGACCACAGTAAGCCATGACTATGACGCATTAGTCCCAAAATATATTTTAATCATTATTTGAGGGAACAGGGAGGGCTGGAATCCTTAGCTCTCAATCTGCAAAAGTTTCTCTTCACAAGACCAATATTCGACCAAGCAGAAAAGGTGATGCGGTGGAGAAAGAAAACTATTTAGTTGATTACCAAAGCGATCCATTAAGATTTTTGGCTGGGGACTCAAAGGGATAAAAAGAATCCAGTTTTGTTTTTCCTTTCGCGATGAAAGAATATAAAACTTTAAGCGACATTGAATTAAACAAAATTAAATCATTATTTACTTACTAATTGAATCAGTATCAAATCAATTAAATTGCATTAGTGCAGAATCGTTTGGTTTTTGAAAAGCTGAATGAACAATTAAATCCGGTATGCGATCATCTGTTTTTACGGACCTTGGTTTCTACATCATAACTATTGTTTTTTCTTCGAATTCAGAAAGAACACTTTTAGACAAATATTGTACTGTTCATTGCAGTTAAGAATTTATTTTATTTGTGGTTTAAGTAATTTCTGTATGCCGACATATTTTCTCTTTTAAACGGGGGATTCTTATTTCAAATTTTACGTTTCTCTTGTCAATCTCCCTGATTAAATCAACCTTATTTTAGAGCAGGTTTTTTAAAGCAATGATTCAGAGCTTTTTAATATGGCAGCGCCATTTGGGGAAGCACGTTGTGGGAATAAAGTAAGTGAGAGGATGTACCCAAGGTTTCAGTTCAATAAGCTGAGTAGATCAAAACCTGTTGAACAGGATCTTGAATTCACCGCCACCTACTGTCCATTATATGTAGATGATATAATTACAGTACTACCGTGTGGCACGAAATTTTTGCGGTTCTAATTTTTTGCGATTCTTTCGGTTTTTTCCCGCGATCCGCAAAAATAGTTCCCGCAAATTTTTTTTCCGCAAAAAATTTACTCCAGTGGCGAAATTATACATAAAAACCTCATATGTAGAATCTAGTTGATGCCAGTTATGTAAAACGTCTCTTTAAATAAAACGATGAAATTGTCCACGGTACACTACAGGTGTAGCTGCTAAAAAGTTTACAGAAAAAGGATCGTTTGAAGGTACTATCAGCCACACTTGGCAAGACGTTATTTGTAATAGAGCGACTGATTACCGTGTAGTGTAATAAAAAAAACGCCGAATAAACAGCAAATAAACGCGACTTTCTGAAAATCGCAAAAATTGATACCCAACTCGAAAAACGAGTCCTTCGCATTCGCAAAAATTAGCTCCCGCAAAATACAAAAATATCGCCGATCCGCAAAATTAAACTCCCACAAACATTTCTTGCCACACGGTTCTCTAAACCAAAACACAGTGGTCCAAGGTCACTGATGCAAACAACTGAAAACATAACCTGCGAATAATCAAAGAGGCGTTGTTACATTGCTTGCAATGCATGACGAGCATTACGTGAAGATAACGCATGCGCAGGAAGCGGGGCGGGAAGTGGAATTCGCAAGATGTTGTCTTCTGGTCCTCAGAGCTCCTTTTAGTCAGGAGCGCGACCTCTGGAGTCGAGCATAAAAAAGTCGGGAACTGGGAGAAATATAGGAGAAAATTTTGTTTTTTACTCTAGAAATAGCATAAAAAGGGTGATCTTTAATGGTAACAACAACAAACATCTAAAGAGCTTGTGAAACTTAGGTAACTTGAGAAATTTTTTGGCTCTTTGGGTGTATTTTTCGAGGAGAAATTGGCTAGGTGGCAAAAGGGCTAATGAGCTCATACATTCTTTGTAAAGTTTTGAGAAGTTTAACGCCGCTTCACAGAAAAAGTATTCAACACATCGGGCTCAAATTACTTGGGACAGTTAATCGTGCTGTGCCCTTTCAATATTCAGAGCTAATATTTTGTAACTCCATCAGAAACTTTATCGCTTATGCTAATGAAGCAAATATTGTGAACAAAGATTCATCGAACATAGGCTCTAGGGTTTTAACGTAATCTTTGCCATGGCAACCACACAAGCAACGTTAGGCGCAATCAAAGTTGAAAAAGAAAAACTTTCATGTGCTATATTAAACACAATGAATTTGAACACTATGTGAACCATTTTACCCGAATTATTGTGTTGCGTTTTAAGTCTATAGAGTTCAGTAGGACGCCAACGGTTTTGCGGTTTTGCCAATGTATGTGAGAATGAAAGAATTCATAAATGCGACGCTCGGGGGTTGTTTTAACCAACTTAATTACTGCATCTTGTGATGTGATGACTAAAACATGGAAGCGTATTATTTTCAAAAGCGTCATAATGTGATAATGAGATTTACAGAAAATAAAAGTCCAACAAACAGTATTATTCTATCCGTCTGTGTGCGTAACACACCTCAACATTCGCGCAGAATAAATAGTTCAAACATGTTTAAATTTTTCCAGATGAATTTTTTGACAAGTTAACGGTCTATTTGTCTGTCTGTTATTTTGCTTCTGTTATGTTATGTCTTGTTCCAGATGACTTGCGTATTTCTTAAGTGGTCATGTAACGGGTCTTTTTGTTCTGGTCTAGTGTTGTTTCTGCTGGCGACGCATTGATGCCGAAGATGATGTTTTTAACATCTTTATTCTATTATGTTTTTGTGTCTTATAAATTTTTCTCGAAGAATCTTTTCGCATCTTTGAATAACGGTCTTAGTGAAGGATAAACTGAGCTTTCGCGCGTAAAACAATAGTTTTTCTTTATCCTATTATTTCCTACATTTTCCAGATGAAGAGTCTTTTGTCAAGTCCAGACAACAAACTCTTTGCGTCTCTGCCAATAAAATGGGACTCAAAAAAGGGCATCTTTTTAACTATTGTCTTCTGAATATACATGTTTATTAAACAGCTTTAAAAGCTTGATGAAAACGTTATATACTTACAAGGTATCAGCCTATAACCCTGAGCGAATGTTTACCGACAGAGTTATTTTTTTAAAGGCTTTCACGTGTGCAAATGGCTCGATAGCCAATGAAAATTGACGAAGCAGAAACCTCTCAAAAACGTGCACTTATTCTGTCGCGTCACTGCCACCGGATATGAATGAAGGCGATCGTTTAATTTTCTACTCCTGTATTTACTTAATTCTAATCAATTGCTTTCGAAAACCATTGCCGGATGAAGTTTTTCCTAGCTACCGGACGGATATTTGAATAGATTTGTTAAATTCGGCGGTTCTGAGCGCCTATCTCTTTGTACTAAAAGAAGCCGGCTAAAATATCTGTTGATTCTTAATGCTAGCAAATTATACGATTTAAAGACGACCTTTGGTTCCAACGGTCTTGAGTCTAGTTGAAAACCATACTTAAATAACACTCGAGAGCGTCTCCGTTACAGGCCGTTAGGTGTACCCAAGAGCCTTTATATAAGACGTAAACAGACTCCACGATTCTCAAACGTTGTATTGACGCCCAGCAAGAACGTGCAACGCTCATAAAGAAAACGTAGCAGATATTACAGACGACTTCCACGATGAACAACATTCTTCTTATTGCTTTCCTTTGCCTGTTGCTTGGAATTTCTTTTCAAGGTGTAGAAATGCGACGGATGCCCCACTTAGAATGGAACTCGCGCGGTTTGCCCATGCAGTGGAAAAAGAGATCATCCACCAACAGCCACCGGAGCAAGATATATAGCGACTTTTATAGAAGGTAGCTAAATTTGTCAAACGTTTTCTGTTTCAATGTCGGTACATCGGTACACTTCGGGTACTTTGTGAAAGGTTCAGGGTCAGTTAAAAATTTTTAGACAGTGAACTGATTGTCGTGTCAACTTTGCCTAACAGTAATAAAAAAACGTATCGGAATTCTTGCTTCAGACATAAAGAAAGAAACAATCTTTCTCTGGCCAAAATACGGGAACTAACTTATAACTGTATTAGGATCAATCTCTCGATTACAGAGGTGCGCTCGGTATGGCCTTACGGTGTGTACGAATATAGGGACTGGTAAATTAACCTTACAAATGAAACAAACAAACAAACAGTTATTCTAAAAAAAAGTCCTGAAATTCTGCATTTTAATAATATACTGATACGAGTCAGGCCCAAATTAATCAAGTTGTCCAAATTAACGCCTAGACAGCCCACTATTGTGCAAAAAATCGAAATGACTTGGTAACAAAGTTATTCACAACAATATTCTGGGTTGGGTCCTACCCCCAGAGAGGAACGAACCCCATCCCCCTTCAAACTGAAGTTAGAAAGAAATATATCGATCACTCCCTTATAGACCTACAGGAGTACAACATGTGGTCCTATCTCATCGTCTAACTGATAACAACAATGTCAAAAGTTATAGCAAACCCCATTCAATGGCAAAACCCTCATCGCCCTGGGGGCAATGACTAATTGAAAGATTCTAAAAAAAAGTCGCAAGTACTTGATCGTTGTACATTTCCTTTATCTTTCTTGCCAGTTCTAGACCCTACAGCTTGGACGCGGATGAAGACCAGCAGAATGATTTTCCACCTCACTTTCCTCGTCCGGGGAAAAGAACTGTGCATCCATAATAATGTTTGGAAGTAGAGATATACCTCTGCGGTTCAGTCACTGCTCTCGCATTTTTTGGCACTTGTGTGTTATATAGTTATTTCGTCTGCACTCCCGATTTCGTTAATTTGACTGGATTGATTAGGAAAAAAAAAACAGCCTTCCGTTCCTCTTTAGTTCGATTCCTCGATAACTCGGAACACTGGGATTAACTTCACTTTCTGTTAAAATAAACTGTAAATTCAATAAAAATGCGTCAAGCTACAGTTGTGTTATTATTGGCTACGTTAGCCACAGTTGCTAGTTAGTCACAATGGCTAGATGAAAAAAAAGGCTGCGTCATAATTTCTCAAAGACTGTACATGCATATGCTGCCATCTAAACATCTAAGTCTAAACATCGTTGAGCTCAAGCAGGGAACAGAGCGAGTAAGAGGCCAATAACTGACTAGTTCCCAGTCGTCTCTCAGAGTCAACCCCTGCTTTATCACTTTTTCCCAGTCGACTCTCGCTCCGGTCGGAGACTCAGAAACGGCTGTGACCTGGATCAAAGGACAATGCCAGACGGAGCCGTAATAAGTGTTCGAGGTGGCTGGCAACAGCTTTCAACAATTTCAAGTAATGTTACAATACTGGTATCACGCAAATGCTCAATCATTGTCAAATTTGTTGTGGACATTTTCATTATTGTGGTAGACCGGGTAGACAGTTGATCCGCCAAAGTAAAACTGATGAAAAGTGCGGGAAAATGCTAGTCAGCCACCTGAATTAAATTAAATTGATGTGCCCGTCTTTTGAGATTTTAAAGTATTGTCTTTCTACGATTACGTATATTATTTATGTAGCGTGAGTATCATTCTGGAAGCTTGGAATAGCAACTGATGATCGCGCTATTGCGTGATGTTGTATGTCTCGATGGTCACGCAATGTATTATAGTCAGTCACGCAATTAACTTATTTTGTCACATGCTCCCCTTCACCGGCAAAGAACAGCTGTAAAGCTGCAGAATACTACTTGAACATATTTCGAGCAATTGAGGATTTACACTGCTCGTGATATTTGAAAATTTATTCAAATTACACACGCCTAAAGGCTTGTGTAATTTTGAGAGAATTTTCAAATACCACTCGTGGTGTAAATCCTTAATTGCTCTCGCATTCGTACGCTTACCTATACTTATTATCTCTTTGGTCTTTTTCTATCTCAGTAAACTATTATTTTCAGGTTTCCTTCATTTTAAAGGTAATTCATTTCACAATCACAATGATGTAATTTTCTCAGTCATATAATGATAAACCAAAGGGACAAGGATGGTTATAATTAAGGATGGAGAAGAATGACACGAATTGTAAACGATAAACCTTGAAAAATTTAGACTAAACTTTTCAAGATGCGAATCCGTGACGTAATGAGCTCCTTTAATAGATCGTGAACGAGCAGTGTAACTTGCGGGTGAGTTCGTATCACATGCGTTCCCGCAGAAAGCGGAGGCCTATCTTTGGAATTTCCGTTCACTGATTACGTCACAAATGACACACATGAAATTGACTGACCAGGTTTCTATTGGCAATAAGAATGGCCTTGAATTGGTGGGCGCGTGTTACAGTCTACAAGTTGATAAGCCACATGACGTTGGCTCGCCTGCGCATTTAAAATCTGTCGTATACATTGCAAAAAGATTCGGACGATTTTAATTTTGGACAAAAAAGTGTCCGAAAATGAAACCCTCCAAAATTTTTAACCGTCCGAAATATTTACAGTAGACTATCAAACTTTTAAATCGGCTCCAAAGCAGCTAGTGTTCTTTATGGAGTGAACTCTAGCTGAGACACTGCTTAAGATACGTAACGGCTTGATAGGATTTTTCTTATTTTCCCGTCGGTGTATCTGTAAACCCTTGAGGCTGTAGTAAAACTATCGTTATCTCAGATGTTGTTTCAGTCTAAAAGGTGATTTGTAGGCGTAAATTTACGTTAGCTACGTTTCAGCAGTGTCCGAAACGTGGTAAATTTCTTTTGCTAATATTTGTGTTGAAAATATTCCCGCACACCTTATTTATTCGATCTCTAAAAGTAAAAGAAAGAGAAAAAAGCTACAGGCATATACAAATGAATAAATAACTTTTTATTAAATAGTTATTATAAGTCTGTCGTGATTCACCATGGGAATTGTTAAAAAAAATTACAGTTATTGCTTACCGTTTAACGAAACGGCCCAGTGAAATTGTTTGATATAACATTTTCTCAAATATGATATTCAGTGAAAGAAGAAATCTTGTGCATAAAATATTATAATATATTAAGCATTTTTTGTCGTTTTCATTGATAAATAACATTTTACATCCATTGTTATGAGCCTTCTTATTTTCTTACTTTTGCGTGTTACGACCGCGATGCACGCTGGTACTAGCTTTTGTAGGTGATATCTGCAAACAAAGTTGTTTCCTGAGCACAATATATATTGAAAGTATGTTAATAACATCAATTATAATCTGCAACTGTGTGCTTGAGATGCGCGCGTCAATTTTACAGTTATGGAAAATGTTTCCTATAAGAATACAGTAAACATCCGCATATAAGATCACATGATTTCGTGGTTCAGGCTGATCTAGTTCTTATTTATCGGGTGCTTAGTGAGATATCAGCCTGAAGATGTTCTTAATATGTTCTTAAACTATGTTTCAGAAATACTACACATAAGATGTTATTAGCGGTTTGGTTACCATATTTTATTATAAATAAGTAGGAAAGTAAACAAATCCGTTAATCAATAAATAAAATAACAATCTGTCAGGTAGTAAACTAGTTAACATTAACGAGTAGAAATGTAGCACTGGTTTCAACATTTTTTTAAAATATTTCTTACAGTCATGCTAAACCAACCGGGGCCACCATAGTCTCGCAGCAACCATAGTTACATTGCTTTCTTACTCCGACACCCTCTCCCTTATTATACAAAAACATGTTTTATTTATCAGGCTGAACTGGTTCTTATATATATGGTGCTTTATGGGCCAAATTTCTGGGCCAAATTTCAGGGCCAAATTTCATGTTCTTAATCCATTTGTTGCTATATGCAGGTGTTCACTGTATCACGGATATTTCGCATTAAAACACCTGATCTATTGTTAATGTCTAAACCACGTATTTTGGCCCCTACAAAATACTGAACGTTACATTGTAAGTTGGCTAAAAATGTAGCTTGCCTGGTAAAGTAAAAAAAGTGTTTACACCTGAAACATTNATAATAATTTTCAGTCAACTGCAAGTGATTTTTTCACATTTTTCGCTGGCATGCGAGCGCGATGTTTCTACTGGCTGCCAGATGAAGTAGTAGTCTATCAGTTTGATTCTCTTTTGGTGAAATGATTCCTGAAAACAGAGCGTAGATGCATGTCTGATTACTTGCTCTTAACCTTTTCACCAATCGCTGGCCAATTGGTTGTACTTAGTTGAACATAGTTGTCACTACCGAGGACGATGATTTATATATCGCCAATCACCATTTGTTTTCCCCATTGTTGTTGTTTTGTTTCTCCAATTAAGTCAGTGTAATGCGGCGTAATTTTAATAAGCTCGTCAAAGACAAACTCAGGTTGATATTAACTTGAAGAGCTGATGTTTCGAACGTCGGTTTTGGAGACCATAGCTGACCATTCTCTAGATTATTATGCAGTCAAGAATGGCACAAGTACCACAAACGTTATCAAGACGACTGCCAAGTCAACTTCACGTCCAGCTAGTTACTTAACAACTTCAATGTCGAAAGGCGCACGCTCAGACAATTGTCAGTTGTTTTCGGGATGTTGGCGCGAGGCAGCTATAATTTTCGCTACATCTAGGATGAGCGTCACTCTAACCTTTGGGGAAGAAACGTAATAAATGGTGCTGGAGCAAGCATCAAAACGCCAACGATCACAAAAACTGCACCAATTATAATGACCACGCGTGGTTTACCCTGCAAAAAGGAGGTAAGGTTTAGTAAGGGAGATACATGTAGAAGTGAAAAAAGTGACAAGTTTATTATTGAAGTATTGCACATCTCGCATAACTGAGTAGTAGAAACCCTTTAAGCCCAACTGGCTCGTAGCTCTCGGTGCTTACTCCGGTTTCTTTAGCATTGAATCACATAGGAGTATTGCTACTCCTTTGGGATAACGACTCGCCGGTACCTATACTCGCTGCACGATCATGAGTGAAGAGAGGCACTGTGAGACTAGTGTCGTGCTCAGCACAATATTTCCGGCCAGGGCTTGAATCCGAACCGCTCCGCGGACCGGAGTCCAGGCCACGAACCATTAGGCCAATGCACCTCCTACAGGTCGCATTACCTCTCGACATACTCTTCAAGATAAACAGCTAAAAGAAGAGGAAGAGGAGGAACAACACTAACAAAAGGATTCAGTACTTACCGTCTTATCGCACATCCATCCCACCAAGGGTGCAGAGATAGCGTAACAACACGCCGAAAGAAGAAACAACAAGCCAACTTTACTAGGGCCTAAACCAAACTAGAAAATTAAAGCCAGTGTTAATGGTCTTTCAATGATTTCAAACAGTAGGAACGTATAAGAAACAGTACAGAAGAACGGATGATCACAAACTTCAGTACTGAACACAGCCTATCTGAATTGCAGCCTGCCCACGTGATATTGTGCGTATTCCGTAGTTAAGCCTGGTTCTCCTTAGTATGCCTCTGATGCCAAGTCGTTATATTGTGCGCAGTTCGCCGTTAAGCCTAGTTCTTCTATACCTCTGATGCAAAGTGACAGGGTTAGGGTTTAGGGTTACATTTGACGCAGCCTGTACTGACTTTTGGTCCCGGTGACTATTCGGTGGCGAGGATAAACTTCAGTGTTCTCAGCAGTTTTGAAAAGGTGATTAAAGATAAGTAACTAGCGGCTACATAAGATTATACATAAGTTTGTTTTTCTAGACAAGCGTTGTATATTCAAGCCAAAACACGCCGCTACATTTGTCTTGACAGATAGTGGAAGTCCACCTGTTACTGCCTTCTAAGAACGCTGCAAAGTGCTCGAAACCTTCACGCTGTCTGTTATCTTGAAATTGATGGCTTCGGAGTTCAATTTACCGCGGGTATCAGTGCCTGCGTACTGTTTGTACGTTTTACACTACATAGTCTTATTGCCGGCATGCTGGAAATGAAACTACAAAATACCTGTAAAGTTGAGCACATGGGCGGCGCTCATCACTTGGGAGGCTGCTCACTTGCACTGGGTGCAGGATTCAAGGTAGAATCACACGTAAGAACAAGGCTTTCAAAGAGAGTCCTTAAAGGCGCTACCTCACG